TAGATAGAGAGAGAGAGAGAGAGAGAGAGAGAGAGAGAGAGAGAGAGAGAGAGAGAGAGAGAGAGAGAGAGAGAGAGAGAGAGAGAGAGAGGGAGAGAGAGAGAGAGAGATTATTTATGATGTACTTGTTGATTTATCGAGGATTAAACACGTGTGTTAACAACTGTGAATCTCACTTTGTTGTCGTTATTGTTTACATGGCCTGTTACTGGTGCTGCGAGACAGACAGGGTTATAAACAAACACACGCACGCACGCACGCACGCACAAATATGGATATGAATTTCGTCTTGACTTCCAACACACATATGCATTACATTTATTAGTCAGTAATAAGGCAATCCATACAAACGGTTTTCATTATCCCATACATTACAGTAAGGGAGTTCAAAATGAGGTTCCTATGCCCTCCTTCCTCCCTCAGTATTCGTCCTGATAGTAGTTTATCTTGATAGAAAAATACACAATCTCACACACGATCAGTTCAATATCTATCGTGAACGACACAGTTTTCACACTGGACACAGAAGTATGGAGTTTTTCGTTCTTGCATTTCGCTTTCTCTCGGTATATGATTATTGCATTGAACAACGGATATATGTGAGTCTACCACGTTACAGCGTGCGTGCACGGGTATCCACTGCGTATCGAGAGGGAGAGCGCGAGGTATATCTGAATTATTGATATGTTATTGATCATGAATCTTAACGATTGAACTAAATAATTGCCATGTTTCTAGCGATGTTGCGATCTCGGAATAACACAGTTTTCGATCGCACATTTCGATTGGTCGAGCTGGGGATCACATGGTGTGCGAGATTCGGTTCCAAGCGCTTACCTGGTTATATACCAAAATATAAATCATTTATATAATTATTATTTATTATTATTATTTTATATTAATATATTCCTCAGTTGATATCAAAACAAACATTTGTTTTCATTCACTCCTGATCATATGAAGCTTATTGTGTGTGGGGGGTGGGGGGGTGTAATGAGTTATCTAACTCATAAATTAATGATATGCATAAGCCTGTAAGCACAGAGAATCTTGCACAATCACTTACATTAGGCTAAAAAAGATACACGAACACACGAACCGTAAAAATAGTTCATGCGCTGTCCCTAAAATTCCTTCATTGAGAATAAAATCGTAATATTAATAATAATAAATAATAATAATAATAAATATTAATTATAATAATAATAATACTAATAAAGTACTAAATATATGTAAGTATTAACTAAAGATATAATAAAGTACTCAGGGAAAAAAACAAGCTCAAGAGTAACTGCGCGCATATATTAAAAAAAACATGAACTTCGTGGCGGCCCAACTGGCCATTAAATTCTTCACTCAGGAACATGATTATCACTAACTGTGATTTTTCCTCTGATAGTTAATGATATGATATGGCCACTATACTTCAGAGCTCTCTGGGTTATAATATTTTAGAGCGATATATGAAGAGCGAATGTTGTTGTTCTCTCTGCTATCTCGTCTCAACACCTGATCGCGAGAGCAGACAAGAAAAAACCTAACGTGTGGTGGTCTTCATCCATCAGCTAGGCCATCGATCACTGATCACATGCTATTGATCACCGATCACAAGATATTGATCATCGATCACAAGCCACTGATTATCGATCACTGGCTATCGATTACCGATCACAAGCCACTGATCATCGATCAGCACGGACCTCCGATCACGACCGCCACAGTAATGGCTGCGGGCAGCTTCATCGCTGGCGTCTGCGGCGTTGCTAGGGCCGCCATGTCGTTGCTAGGGCCGCTATATTATTGCTAGGATCGGCACCATCTGTGCAGCGTTGCCAGGGCCACGATGTTGTCGCTACGGTCTCTGGCGTCTGTGATGTTGCTAGGGCCGCTACGTCGTTGCTAGGGCCACGATGTCGTCTGCCGCGTTGCCAGGGTTACTGACGTCTGCAGCATTGATAAAGTAAGTAGCGTCTGCAGGGTTGCTAGGGCTGCTACGTCGTTACCAGGAACGCCAGCGTCTTGCGAGCATCTGCAACCACAACCCCAGCATCGTGGCTTCAATCGCCTCGCTGACTTTCTCTGCCGCATGCACGGCGTTGTCAAGGTTACTGCCATCATCACCGTTGCTAGGGCCGCTAGCGTCTGCAGCGTTGCTATAGTCTCTCTACATCATTGCCAAGGACGGTGATCACAAAGCTGGAGTTGTGGCTTCGATCGCCTCGCTGGCTTTCTTTGCAGCATGTCCCGCGTTGTCAGGGTTACTGCCATCATCACCGTTGCTAGGGCCGCTAGCGTCTGCAGCGTTGCTATAGTCTCTCTACATCATTGCCAAGGACGGTAATCACAAAGCTGGAGTTGTGGCTTTGATCGCCTCGCTGGCTTCCTCTGCCGCGTTGTCAAGGAGTTAACTAGGACGCTGCATGCCCACACGAACGCTCCCGTGAAGATGTTGACGGCGGTGATGAGGAACACGAACACCGTGGCGATGTTGTTGAGGCGGTTTAGCGCCACCTGGTGTTCCACGCGGACGATCGACTTCCGGCCCAGCAGCAGGAAGATGATGCCGACGCCAATCTGTGTGTGAGAGGAGAGAGAGGAGAGGGTTAGTGTAGTAGGGGGAGGGGGAGGTAGAGGGAAGGGAGACATGTGAGAGCGAGAGAGAGAGGAGAGAGAGGTTAGTGTAGTAGGGGAGGGGGAGGAGGAGGCGGAAGCGAGAACATGTGAGAGGTGTTAGTATAGGGGAGGGTGGAGAAGAGAGTGAGGGGTTAGTGTAGTATGGGGAGGGGGAGGAGGAGGGGATGGGAGACATGTGAGAGGTGTTAGTATAGGGGAGGGTGGAGGAGAGAGAGGAGAGGGTTAGTATAGTAGGGGGATGGGGAGGAGGAGGGGAAGGGAGACATGTGAGGGTGTTAGTATAGGGGGGTGGGGAAGAGAGGAGAGGGTTAGTATAGTAGGGGATGGGAGGAGGAGGGAAGGGGAGACATGTGAGAGGTGTTAGTATAGGGGAGGGTGGGGAAGAGAGGAGAGGGTTAGTGTAGTAGGGGGAGGGGGAGGTAGAGGGGAAGGGAGACATGTGAGAGGTGTTAGTATAGGGGAGGGTGGAGGAGAGAGAGGAGAGGGTTAAGTGTAGTAGGGGGAGGGGGGAGGAGGAGGGGAAAGGGAGACATGGTGAGATGTTAGTATAGGGGAGGGTGGGAAGAGAGTGCAGGGGTTGTGTAGGTAGAGCGATGCGTGTAGGTAGAGGAGGGGAGGTAGGAGTGTGAGCACAAGGAGGAGGAGAGAGAGAGAGAGAGCGAGAGAGAGAGAGAGAGAGAGAGGGTGGGGAGAGAGAGAGAGAGACAGCGAGAGAGAGAGAGAGACGGTAAGAGCGAGGAAAGGAGAGAGGGGGAGAGAAAAAGAGAAAAAGAGAGACATAGAGAGAGGGGGAGAGAAAGAGGGAAGGAGTGATGAAGAGAAGAGAGAGAGAGAGAGGGCGATATAACATATGTATATGTATATGTATATATAATATATATATATATATATATATATAAACGTAAGTAACAGCTTGCCACTCACCTGTAGAATGATGAGATGCTGACCATGGTCATCAGGAAGTAGAAGTAGCCATGTTTGGGTCCCGTATCAATGAGAGCCTGCATATAAGCAGCAGCACAAACACACACATTATCACACATGCTAAGAACGTAAAGTAGAAGTAGCCATGTTTGGGTCCCGTATCAATGAGAGCCTGCATATAAGCAGCAGCAACAAACAACACACATTATCCACACATGTAAAAACGTAAAGTAGAAAGTAGCCATGTTTGGGTCCCGTATCAATGAGAGCCTGCATAACAAACAGCAGCACAAACACACCATTATCACACATGTAAGAACGTAAAGTAGAAGTAGCCATGTTTGGGTCCCGTATCAATGAGTGCCTGCATATAGGCAGCAGCATAAACACACACATTATCACAGCATGTAAGAACGTAAAGTAGAAGTAGCCAATGTTTGGCCGTCCCGTATCAATGAGAGCCTGCATATAAGCGAGCAGCATAACACACCAACATTATCACACATGTAAGAACGTAAAGTAGAAGTAGCCATGTTTGGGTCCGTATCAATGAGAGCCTGCATATAGGCAGCAGCACAAAAACACACACTTATCACACATGTAAGAACGATAAAGTAGAAGTAGGCATGTTTGGGTCGGTTGTCAAAAACGTCACAAGTTGTATATGTATAATCATCTAAAGTATTATATATTAACACATATTATATATATATATATATATATATATATATAAATATATATTATCTCACCTTAATCTTCATGAGTGTACGAGGTCACTATCTCAGGGATGGACTTCAGCTGGGACACGCTTTGATATATATATATAGTCCTTGAACTTTGAAGACTAATCCTCATAAGGTTACAAGGTCACTATCTCACCTTCTGCTGGGACACGTCTAACTATAATTCCCTTCCCTTTTCACCGGTTTAGCTGCAAGGTTTAAACTTTTTCTGTTGATCTGTCTATTTGATCAACGTTGTCTCTATCTCTCCGTCTTCGATATATAGTCTCTCGAAGACTAATCCCTATGAGGTTACAAGGTCACTATCTCACATTCGGCTGGGATACGTCAGTCATGAGCAAAGCTACGTTCAACAGACCACCAGTAATCGTCTTCTTCAGCGTAAACTAAACTTCTGAACTTCTTTAGCCCAGCAAGCTTCAAAGCACAGCTTCAGGCCATATATAGTACAATCACGTAATTAATAAAGGTTAATAAATATCATCATTATAATAACTAATGTGTTAAGTTAGTTAATGTTAGTAAACGTCGCCATTTGTGTTGGTGCTTCTTTGCACCCGCAGTGTTGACTCTGTCTATTCGATCAACCCTTTCTCTCTCTCTCCGTCTTCAATATAGTCCCTTGGACCTTGAGGACCGATAATTATGAGGTTACAAGCTCACTATCTCACCTTCAGCTGAGATACGTTAGTCATAAGCAAAGCAACGTCCAGCAGACCACCTGTGATCGTCTTCTTCAACGTAAACTGGCTGATGTCAACTCTCTCATTGACATACAACTACAAGTAAACAACGAGGGGACAGCAGCGATAAGGCACTGCTTACGAAAGCAGGGGTGGGGAGGGGGTGGCGTGGCGTCTCACAGGCGGGTGGGTGGGGCTGCGTGCACGGTGCGTGAAGGTGGGTGGGCATGGGGTGGGGTGCGGGAGGGGGTGGCGTGCGTTCACAGGCGGCGGGGTGGTGGGCTGCGTGCACGGTGCGTGAGGTGGTGGGGTGGTTGGGGGAGGGGGTGGCGTGGCGTCCTTCACACGGCGGGTGGGTGGGCTGCGTGCACGGTGCGTGAGTAGTGGCGGTGGGGGCAGGGGGGGTGGCGTGGCGTCTCACAGGCGGGTGGTGGGCTGCGTGCACGGTGCGTGATGGTGGTGGGGTGGGTGGGGGAGCGGGGTGGCGTGGCGTCTCACAGGCGGGTGGTGGGGCTGCGTGCACGGTGCGTGAGGTGCGTGGGTGGGGTGGGGGAGGGGGTGCGTGGCGTCTCACAGGCGAGTGGGTGGGTGCTGCGAGCACGGTGCGTGACGGTGTGGTGGGTGGGGTGGGGGCGATGGAGGGAGGGGGGGGAGGGTGGGGTGACTCCCTCCTTCACCCCCCGCCCACAATTGCACCATTATGTTTACTAGTAGCATTACTAAGTCTGGGGGGAGGGGAGAAGGAAGCAGGGAGCCAGGAAGCAGGGAGCCAGGCAGCAGGGAGCCAGGCAGCAGACAGAAGAAAACCAACGTCACCACGCCGTGCATGCAGCCACGCCCTGCGCATGCGCACACCGCCCCCTTGTTACGGGAGGGGGAGACACGGTCTAGCATTCAGGTGCTCTCAGATCTCAGATACGTGTGCTGCCATTGACAGCTTTTATTCTCTGCGAGCATAGATATCAAATATATACAATGTGCGTATGTGTGTATGTGTGTGTGTGGGGTGCGTGCGTGCGTGCGTGCGTTCGTGCGTGCGTGCGTGCGTGCGTGTGTGCGCGTCTGTCTATATGTCTGTTTGTCTACATTTCTGTCTGTCTGTCTGTCTGTCTATCTGTCAATCTAGATGTGTGTGTGTGTGTGTGTGTGTGTGTGCGTGTGTGCGTGCGTGCGTGCGCGCGCGCGTGCGTGTGTGTGTGTGTGTTGGCGGGTCGCGAAATTTTTTTCCCCACGAGAGTTCCGGACCCCAGCCAATCAGCGCACTCCATTCACTCGACTTCCTCGAAGTAACAATGTAAAATGTATACACCCTAACCATAACACTAACTATAAATAACCAGGTTTGTCTTATATACGCACCATATATTACAAAACACTATCTGTGGTGGGTCCGGAACTCTCGTGGGAAAAAAAATTTCGCCGGCGGGTCAGGGAGAGAGGGGAAAATTCTGAGCCAAACTAAGAGTGCCTGAGAGCACCCACGAATGTCGCACCGTGTCTCGCCCCTCCCCCCAATGACAAACGCGACGACACTTGACCTTGATCTGTGACACGTTTGACATCAGCAGCGCGACATCTAGCATTCCTTGACTGACGACCTTCTTGGTGACATAGTGCGACAGTTCAAAGTTTGCCGTCTGCGGGAACTACAAACAAAAGAAAAACGAAAGCGAAATAAATAAAAAAAGAGAGAAAAGGGGTCGTCAATTTAACTGTGCTGCTATAGTATGTAAAATATTTCCATGTGTGTGAACTATGACTATGTGGGGAGTGTTTTGCTATGGGGGAATTTTTATTAAGTGGAGGGTAGAATTTTGTTATGTGGGGGGGGGGGAGTATTTTTATGTGGGGAAGAGTATTGTTATATGGAAGGGGAGAGGAGAAAATTTTGCTATATGGGGAAAATTGTTTTCATGTGTTGGGGAAAGGAATAGAAGAATACAATCCAACAGAAGAAAATAAAGCACGTGAATATGATGTCAAAATGCGGTTCACTGTACGTCCACACGCAGACAACGCGTGCCCTACCACCAACCACCCGACCACATAATATGTACATGACCACATATACAGCAGCAGGGTACACCAACCATCCGACCAACGTACAGCCCCGATAAATATGTCACACGTGCGAGCGCAAAGCAACCAAAAAAACCCACAGACGCGCATTACCAAGAAAACAACCACCAAAAATCCACCGGAGACATAACTGACATAACTTACCGAGTTAGCACCCGGGATAGGCGCCAGCACACCGGGAGGGACGACGATGGATCCGGTTCCGTTTCCGCCCATCGCCTGTGTGTGTAGAGAGAGAACAGAAGAGGAAGGATGAACGAGTTATAAACACGTACGTTATAAATGTGATGTTAGTGCGTGCTGCTGCGAGAGTAGGTGGAAGAGAGAGAGAGGGGGAGAAAGAGAGTGAGAGAGAAGGGAGGAGGAGGTAGAGAGAGAGAGAGAGAGAGAGAGAGAGAGAGAGAGAGAGAGAGAGAAGGAGAGAAGTGATCAGAGAGAGGGAGCGAGCGAGAGAGAGAGGAGAGAAGGGAGGAGTAGGTAGAGAGAGAGACGGAGAGAAGAGTAAGGAGAGAGAGAGAGAAAGTGATCGAGAGGAGGGATGAGAGGGAGAGAGAGGAGAGAAGGGGAGAGAGAGTGATCGAGAGGAGGGAGAGAAGCGAGAGAGAGAGGAGAGAAGGGAGAAGAGAGAGAGAGAGAGAGAGAGAGAGAAGGGAGGGAGGTAGCGCAGAGAGAGAGAGAGAGAGAGAGAGAGAGAAGGGAGAGAGAGAGAGAGAGAGAGAGGGAGAGAGAAGGGGAGGAGATAGAGAGAGAGAGAGAGAGAGCGAGAGAGCGAGAGAGCGAGAGATAGAGATAGAGAAGAGAGAGAGGAGAGAGAGAGAGAGGAGAGAGAGAGATAAAGGAGAGAAAGATAAGAGAGAGAAGCGAGAGAGAGAGAGAGAGAGAGAGAGAGAGAGGAGAAGGAGAGGGAGAGAGGGGGGGGGGGAGGTAGAGGCGCAGCAGCAAAATACTGCAGCAGCTATTATAACGATTCTCTCGGACTCGCTTTCTCTCTCTCTTCCTCTCTCTCCCCCTCTCCCTTCATCTCTCGCTCACGTACATTCAGGCTGAAACACGTAGAGCATCAGCTAGCAGCAGCAGCTGGAAATTTAAGAAGCCATGTTTTTCTTAGCATCCCTGTTGAACATTCACAGCTTCCCGCATCCATTGCGTGCACGCATGTATAGCTCTCTATCTCTCTCTCTCTCTCTNGTGCGTGCGTGTGCGTGCGTACTCTACACTTACCGGACCAACGGCAGAGAGAGGCATCATTCCTGGCATTCCTTCTCTCTCTCTCTCTCTCTCTCACACAGTATATGTCCTTCTTAGCTTACACTTCACACACTCTACCCTACAGACGCGCGCACACACACGCTACTGCTGCTCAACCGGAAACCAGGCTATAATAAGTCCTGGAGTCACCACTCGTGCAGAGAGCGAGAGCGAGTGCAAGCGAGAGAGAGAGTGAGAGAGGGCACGAGAGAGAGAGAGAGCGAGTGCAAGCGAGAGAGAGAGGGAGAGAGAGAGAGAGAGATAGCGGAAAGCCCTCACTATCACACTCTGATCACCACGCTCGCTCGCTGACTCACTCGTTCGTTCTCACACGCACATTTTTCATGGCGTCTCCTTCATCAACGCACGCTCCACACATACTAACGGAGTCTATTAGTCTGTGCACCCCCGCTGCGGCTGCTGCTGCTGCTGCTGCTGCTGCTTCTGATTCTACCCCAGTGTTTATTTACAAAACATTGTCGCTAGGCAACCAGCATCGTAACATATCGTCAGGGTATGGATCGTGGGGGGGGGGGGTATGGGTGTAGTTACGTAGTTATACATAGTTATACATAGTTATATTTAATAATACATGATGTAACCCGTATATAGGTTACACGGCTTTACATGATGTATATATATATATCAGTATGTATATATATATATATATATATAGGTTGCTACGCAAGGCGGGAACGTGCGATCAAATGCCTAGTAGTTTTATTCTGCGAATTATATGTAGCGGGAACAAAACGAGC